AAATCTTGTGAGCCCATGACCCATTTACAGAGCTGCGTTTTTTTTTAGTGTTGTTTGCTCCAGGGCTCCATCAAGCAGTCAACTATCCACACAACTATTACGCCCCAGTGATAATCGCTAATGCTCCATTTCATCGTTTTATTCTTTTATATAAAACACAGCCAGCGTGGACCGAGATTTAACACCAAAGTCAACAAATCATAAATCTGAGCGGCGGTGATTGTTTCTTATGAAATATTAAGCCCATACAACTTATTTGATGGAAAGAAAGGAGAATCTCACAGTAGCCAGTGTCCTAATGGCCAGCTGAATGAGTGAGACAATCTAATTATGAAACATCTAACAATCAGCAGTGATTGGCAAAGGACTTCAGATGCAATCAAGAGTTTTAGACAAACCAGATGTCAACACATTATCCGATGACCTCAGTCTGGCAGTATGCCACCATAAGTATCTCTCTTGTCCAGACTTAATCAGAGCTGGGCTGTTTAATACCAGCTGTAAGCTGTGTGGACAGTATAGGTCTTAAAGCAACCTTCCCTTCACACACACTCCCCTTCCTTCTATGGTCTCACCACACTGTACCATTCCTTCTAGACACAATCAGATACAGCAGAAACCTCTGATGGCTTCGAACGCTTCGGGTGGGTTCATTGCAAACGTCCATGAACAAAGCTTGGCTGTTTGCCAGCCACCATTAATGAAACCAGGCATTTTGTATCACATTACATTTTTAATATCTAAACACAGTATATTGCCACACACGACTCATTTCTTTCTCATGTTCTGTTGACCTACATTTCATTCAGCCGACGATGATATTCGGATTCCCATCTCTGTTTTACAACACTATTTATGACTCACTTGCTGTAGTAAACAGCTGACAGGGTGTCAGACTAGCATTTTTTTAGTTTAATGTGGAATGAAACCTAGGGTATAAATATTCATACAGGCCAAAAATCCATACCCTGTGACCAGTGGTTTGACAGCATCAAGTGCACTTTTTTGATAATTTGTTTTGGACTGTGAAGAAGCAATGTCAAGCAAGAGATAAAGGGAGTTACATCAGTGACATGTGCATCATCGATTTTGGCACCCGCTAAGACTGATGAGGGAAGTCAGAGGAAAATATTATCGCTGCTCCGCTTGAGATGTACACGTGGCAAGAGCAGATCCGCGGACCTCACATAAAAAAATCAAGCAGCGGTAACATAGATACCGGAGAAGACAAATGGAAACAAGGCTATTTACAACACGACCGAAATCACTAATGATGTTTGACACAAATACACTTGGCTTTAAGGAAAGCCGACCAAGAACAACAAAAGGGACGGCGTAATTAGGCGTAACACCCGATGCGGAATGTTCTCACTGACAGGGGCCTGTGTGACTAACAAATCAAACCGCCACACAGTAGCAGAATCCGAGAAATTTTAAAATGCAGTTGGGAATTTGATAATACCTGAACAAGCAGCATATACATTAGCGTCACTGTGATCTATTACAGAAGCCACGTTTCCCAGGGGGAAAAACAGCTACTGCAATATAAAGTAGAAAGCAGAGGAGCTTGGGTAGACAGTGCCCATGTACAAACCAGTCAATTTTTGTCTGTCTGGTAGAAAAGGGCCGTAGAGACAAAGCAAGGCCTTGGGGCGGATGTGTTACTCTGCTCTGTGACCATATTAAAACATAAGGCCCTGTTTATCCGAACATGCTGGAGAGAGGCATCTCATTGGGTTGTGCAATTGTGGGCTTAACACAGCAGCTAACACTAGGGTTGTGCTATTGTTTGTTTAACGCAGCAGCTAACACTAGGGTTGTGCTATTGTTTGTTTAACGCAGCAGCTAACACTAGGGTTGTGCTATTGTTTGTTTAACACAGCAGCTAACACTAGGGTTGTGCATTGTTTGTTTAACACAGCGGCTAACACTAGGGTTGTGCTATTGTGGGCTTAACACAGCAGCTAACACTAGGGTTGTGCTATTGTTTGTTTAACGCAGCAGCTAAGGTTGTGCTATTGTTTGTTTGACACAGCGGCTAACACTAGGGTAGTGCTGTTGTTTGTTTAACGCAGCAGCTAAGGTTGTGCTATTGTTTGTTTGACACAGCGGCTAACACTAGGGTAGTGCTGTTGTGTGCTTAATGCAGCGGCTAACACTAGGTTTGTGCTATTGTATGCTTAACGCAGGGGCTAACACTGGGTTTGTGCTACTGTGTGCTTAACGCAGCGGCTAACACTAGGTTTGTGCTATTGTATGCTTAACGCAGGGGCTAACACTAGGTTTGTGCTATTGTATGCTTAACGCAGGGGCTAACACTGGGTTTGTGCTACTGTGTGCTTAACGCAGCGGCTAACACTAGGACATCTGGCCACCCTAGAATTACTCATATAGCTCCTGCTGCAGTCCGAGGCTCAGTGCTCACTCCTCTGGCCCCTGTGCATGCCTGTCTGTTTACAGCCCAACTACGCTCTGTCAACTCCATAAATCCAGCCAATCAAACCGGCCCCTTTCGCGCAATAAAGGATCTCCCCATTGACAAAACAATGTCAAGTCAAAACAAATGTATAAATAATGCTTCTTGGCAAGAGGAAATTTCTTATACAGAAGTATATTTGAGAAATTACAAATAAATAAGTAAATAAATAAATAACAGTGGCAACAAAATGAAGTGATTAGTGCACATCCACAAGGCATTTAAGGCACCCTTTAATCCTCTGAAAACCAAACAGCTTCTGGGTGTTTTTTTTTTGCTCCTTTGACATTTTCACTGAATATTTGTCATGTGACAGTTTGTGTCAGCTGATTTTTTCATGGCTTTCCAGTTGCACTGAGATGTGCAGAATTTTATGTTTTTCACAGGATCCGGTCAGCGCAAACGATTTATTTTTGGGGGAAAATGTCAAATGAGACATAGAATAAAGTGATGTATTTATTATTTTACGCAAAGATTTGGCTATTTTTCCTGATGGAAGCATACGTTACTCCGGATTGTTCCTGGACATTTGCAATGTTGAAAATCTGAAGATACTTTCCGCTTTCACTGTTTCTGGCCATGATAAATGGTATAATTGGGTAGATCCACTATGCAGAAAGGTTACACACATAAGTTAACGTAATGCCTTACGTAAACCTACGGCAGAAATTTTGCGTTCTTGCGGAAATTTAGCGTAAACCAGTCCATCAGATTTGATGGAATGCAGCATCATTCCACATGAGGTCTTTTATAAGCTTGCAAATGTAAAGGGGCGCCCTAAAAGTTTTCCAGCATGTTAAAAAGAAAGCCAACAACGTAACATAACGTACCTTTATGTTAGAATATGCAGCATGCAGTAATCTGCTGTCAATGTGTCAAAATATCTATGAGGCACATATTAATATTCTCAACAAGCAGATTCACCTCAAGCTAAATAATTCAATGGTATAGGGAAGTTTTCCAGAATGGTGACAAAGTCCTCTAAAGTGGAATGTGTAGGTTACCGTATTTTCTCATAACCACAGATTCACTGCCACACAAATTTACAGATCTGTAGTGTCACATGTGGAGAACCACGGATTCCACTGCCATTCGTAGTTTTATTTAAATTTATCCGAGTCAAACTCCACTTGCGGAACTTTACTGCATAGTGGATCTACTCCATAATTCAGTTTTTTACAGAAACCATGCCATATAAACCCACTGTAGGTTTTGGGGTTCAAAGGTTAAGGCACCCTCTCAAGAGTCTTGACCTCCCCTCTGATCCCACTCCGCTGAAATTGACATGTTCAGTCGTCTAGCATTTCCTTCACTGACTGAAGCTGTCCCCACTATCTTGAGTGAAAACAGTGCTCCCAACTGACAGGAAATGAACCTGCGCTTTTTCGCAATTTCGTCGTCAATGAATTGCAGCTCGGCACGTAATGTGCGATGGAAGAAAACATTTAATTGTGAAGTTCTCTCAGGGTTTTCTTCCTATTCATTCATGCATTGCAAGTACAAGAACCTGCAACTTGTACACTTACATCTTCACAGCAGTCAAAATCGGTAACTTGGTAGCATGAGCTCTGAGAATCGATCCGTCCTTGTGAATTTGGCCCTATCCCATCTCTCACAGCCCTGCTTCCTGCAAAGGTGTCAGTTGTTTGAATAACCTCACATTAGTCATGGCTGGCTGCTTCCTATTAGCTCCAGACTTCTTTGAGTTAGGTGTGATTTTTCAGAAAGATACCGTACGCAGACCGAGACTCTTACCAGGTCTTCATTGTTTAAGGTGGATCGGGTCACAAGAGCGAAAGATATGCCTGCCTTTCGAGCAGCCAATGTCTGCACGAAATGAAAAAAAAACAGAAAATGGTGTGAGCGCAGGAATGAAAGTTAGATGAAACAGACAGTTAAAGGACATGAAAACAAAATAAAACATTCTGTGAAAATGTACTAAATTTTCGCACACCTAAATTTTTTTCCTAGCTCCAGTTATCTTATTTTAGACAATGCTGGATTGGTAACGACGAAAAAGAAACAAAATGTGTTTTTCCAAGAAGAGAAAATGTCCTCGTTGGCAAAATCTGTCTTCATTTCTTACATTCTGCAGTAAAAATTCCCGGTCTCTTTATGATAAGAGTGTGGGCAACAGGAGCATCGCACGCTCAAAATTTGGCCTGATTATTCTAGCTAAGAGCCATGGCGGAAAAAAGCATCAGTAACAGCCAAGGCCATTTGCTCAGAGATAAACAGAATGTTTTTGCTTGGCGATAAAACTAGATTAGCAGTCTCCTAGAAGTCAGAGAAATGCTTTCATTTTAAATTCAGTGTAGCTGAACCACATTAATGTAAAATGTGTTATTCTGGAACAGAACATCGAGGCTTAAAGAAACAAATTGACAATTTATACCGACATTGCTGAAGACCGGGTCAGAAAATCTGAACACTGGGTCATCTAAAAGTTAACTGATCTTTCAAATGTTCATCGTGACAATGCGCACTGTGGTCTTGAGAGATCAAACTGGCAAATTCCCAACTGAACTTGATAGCTCAGTTGGTAGAGTAGTAGGACGAAATCCTTTTGTTGTGAGTTCGATCCTCACCCGAGTTCATATTTTCTGACACGGTCTTGCGGAGTGTCGCTAGAAATTGTCAATTTATCCACGAATATGACTCCAATATTAAACAAACAAAATATTTAGATGCATAGCATGCTTTCGTTTTGAGTCAAAATCAATGGAAATAAATAAATACACATTTTACAAATAGTAAAAACCACAAAATGTTGTAATCTGCCGTTAACAAATGTACTGAGGGGGCGTGGTTAAAGTGATTATGAACCCGGGTCAGAATTGAATTCCAAAATCCAAAACCAAAATAGAGTTCCTAAAATTATAATCAGTCAAGAGAAGCCAATTATAGAAAGCAAAAGCATGCTAATTATAAAATTGGTTTCCCTTTAGTTACAGTTCCCCTGGAGTACACAGGGATTTATACCTCCAAGCAATTAAAGACAAATTGATCAGACTCATGGAGATCACCACCTCCACCAAGTTCTCCAGAATATTTCCCATAAATGGCACAGTTAAACAAACCTTAATTGGTTAAGGCTATGCCTAGAACACATGTAACACAAAATATGTGAGAGAGAGAGAGAGAGAGAGAGAGAGAGAGAGAGAGAGAGAGAGAGTGAGAGCCAGTGAAGATGTGTGCACACACTCTTTTTAAATAGAACTGACAGGAGAACACTTCTTCACACGTACATAATTCAGGACACCTTGCGACGCCAGTTCACAAACGCGTTGCGCAGTATCTTGTGAAATATTCAGTCTTTTATGAAAGATAATGACAAAAAAAAAGAGAAGAAACAAGAAGAGGCTCTTACCAAAGCCTTGGGAGTCCCAGCAGCAAAGGGAAGAAGACAAAAATATCAGTTAGGCAGAAAACTGGAATGAAAGATCCAAAATGCCTTGAACAGAGGCCCAGCATAAATCAGCCAAATATACTGCCTCTGTTGCCATGCACAAACAGCTGATCATTACGCAGAAGGAGAGCGTGAAGACTATGTAGGCACTTTTAAACATTATTCTGAAAAATGTTCAGAATGTCATTACTAATGCATGCATTACAGAGGGCAAAAATCCAATTAAACATGCTACGTCCGCTACAGGAGGAACTTAGAATATTTCCGCTGTCTATAATGCACAGCTTCAGAGCGACCCAAACGAAAAACCCATATACTCCTTCAGCAGCCAGTACAAGGCTGACACGGTTAGTGAATTTTGACCTTGGACCATGTGATAAGAGAAGGCAACACTTACAATTGACACCAGAGGAGAAATACGAGTGCAGGAATTGACAGCTGACAATATTGTTTGATTTTCTTTACCATCTGCCCTCAGCTACAGCCAGTATCATGGTAAAGCTCCATGGCGACGCTACAGGCGTCAAAAGCACAGGAATGCAGGAGAGGGGTCAAGGTAAACGAAACATGAGTGGGAAGGTTGATAAATATATCGGACATGCAGTCTGAAACAGCCGAGGGATGATGCGCGTCCACAGATAGTGTTGAATTTTGAACGGAGCCGTTTGCAGGTCTCCACAACAAACTCTCCACCCTCTTACGGTTTCCTCCTGTCTCATCAGCCCAGAATGACTTAAACACTGCCGCAGCACCGAGCAATCGCACAGCCCATTGAGAAGGGGAAAACAGAAGAAGAAGAACGAGGGGAGGAGGGGAGAGGATTAAACGGCATTCGTTTAGCGACTTCATCTGGAGCGTAGAGGGCTTTCCGGCGCATCGCAAGCGCATGACTATGAAAGCCTCGGCACAGTTCAGTCAGGATTCAATGAAGTCCGCGTATATTTTTGGGTTGAGTTGTCAACATTTCAGATGGCTCCAATGTTTCATATGTCCTGCTCCGCAGAGTAATGGCAGAATAGCGCTTGGGCTGAAATCTGACAACTCACTGAAAAATATCACCCATAGTCATTATGGGGCCATGTGGGAATGGCAATATATCAAAACCCCAAACGATAGGACAACCCATACTTACCCAGATAAAAAGTTGTTTTTTTTGTTTTTATTTCATGAGAGATATGAACAAATACAGTCATCAAGAATCAACTTATGCTCTTCAGTGTCCAAGCATTTGTCATGTAATAAAGCAGAGCAATAGGCTTTGCTTACATTGTATAGTCAATTAATACAAACAATCATTAGATCTTCGGAAATGCAGTAATTGTACAGATTTTACCAAGGGAAGAACTCATGCACTTTCACATTTATAAGAGAGCTATTTACTTGAATTATATTTCCATTTTACATATTTTCAGCTGCCAATTCTCAAAAATAACAAATGCAGACATGATCACACACACACACACACACACACATGCGCTCACACACACACATTAAATACTACATGGTTATTCTGTGACTGGATGAATTACCAGTCAATGAGGTACAATAAGACACTCTAACACAAGGGGCTGTAGCAGGCAAAGGCTATAATGACACTTGAATCATGGGAAGTCAGATAGATTCCTCATAATTCAGTCGTAACCTTGTTGAGTCGGATAACTCACCAGGTCCCGGACAATAGGCATGGTCCTCTTGCGCCGTAAATCTGGCATGCTGTCGATACCATAAAGTATGCTGCCAGGCCTAGCGGTGCAGACAGATATAGCGTTCATTAATATCATAATAAAGCTGTGCAATGTGAGCCATCACACGACTGAAAAGGGTGATCTGATTTACAATATTGGTGACCGGCGCAGACTGTACGTCATTTGTACAGTGTTCACACTAGAGGAACGAGAACAAACCCTCTACCTCTCTAAAAGGCGAGCGAATGGGGCATGATGCAGTGGGGTGGTCCATGACCATGATACTCCCCCGGACAGTAGGAGTTAAGGCTTTGGCTGAGCGACGATGAGGGAGACTTCCGCCAGACTCCTCAGGTGTGTCGATCTGTATTCTAAGCAGCTCCTTCAAACCACAGTTAGCGAGGCTAGCGACACCGGACATGTGCATGTGAGGCAAGCGAAGCAAGTGCCTCCGCCCAACCAGCCAATACATGCTGACTCATCCCAGCCACATAGGGTGACTGCATTTGGGGGAGAGTGATGGAGACCAGCCTCCTATGCTGGCAGCATTTTCAGTGAGCAGTCAGGACACTGAATTATGGTTCAAAAGGGGTGTGTTTCTGTCAGATTGCACATGTGATTATGCTTTGTTCCCACTAACGTGCGCTCCGTTACGAATGCCACGATTGGCCATTCGTAGCTGATCGTTCTCTGAAGCTGCTTTCACAGTGGACGCGAAACAAATTTTTCGCACGACTGATTACATTCAAAGTCAATGCAAAGTTCGCGTCTTTGCATTGACTTTGAATGTAATCTGTCGTGCAAAAAATTCGTTTCGCGTCCACTGTGAAAGCGGCTTAAAATTTCAGGTTTGGATACGAGATGATGCGATGATCACGACTGACAATTAATCGCGTTTATCGTAGGAAATTTTTGAACCGTCCAAAACTTTTCTATGTTCAACACGATTGCCACGACTGACCTCAAGATCTGATAAGATCTGATAGGATCACCACGATTGCTCCACGATTAAGACTACGATTTCAATCCTGCTGTGAATCGTGATAGTGGGAACCTAGCATTAGCGGATACCTTCTGCTAAAGCCCTTGGCCAGCATGTGGAACTGAGTTATCCAACTATGCCGTTTGGCATCCGTATTGAGAACATAGCAACTGTTTCATGATGTTGCACTAGATTGACAAAATATAACGAAGGAAAATCTTTTTTAATCTTGGTTAGAAGGGGTGATCATTGAGCATTCGCTGCTGACAGACACGTGTACAATAGAATCATACAGTAGTGGACAGTAGTACTCTCAATTGTACAGTGTGCTTTAACAAAATGCTGGGTTCAAAAAAATTGAGCAGACATTTCCTTGGTACCAAATTTTGACAAGGCCTCCACCATCATAATAAGCTGAAAATTAAAATATTCCGTGGGAAAATATTGTGTTTTGTACAGTTTTTTGTTACCAGTGAAGCTTCTGCATACATGTTTTTATCTCATGCGTGAAAAATGGATAGTCTCAAGGATATCCTTTAAAATGCAGTCTGGGGAATAGATTATCAAGACAAACAAAATTATGTAGTTATTAATAAAAGCCTTTATCTCTCCACAAAATCATTACAGACCTCAAGTGCATATTCCGTAAATGTACACTACATAAAGTACACTGCCCTACAACCAAGTGTCCATTTATATAATACTTATGGCTTCATATCTTCAGATATGGTAAGAAGTGAAATGCATCACAGCTCTGTAAAATTTATCTAAATAACTTGCGTGGGATATGTCTTTGATCCGGTAGCTATTGAATAACTTGTCAAATTTGGAGTGACGAGTTTCAACCACCTGCTTAGAGAACTGACCCAAAGGCCTATTGTGGTGCTCAATGAACTCTGGAACATGGCCAATCATGATGTGGACCTTGTTGGTAACTGAAATGTTCAAATCCTTGTATGTCCTGTCAAATCTGGCCACCTTTCCCTTCTACAATGGGTCCAAGGTGAAACCTAGACATGCATTCATAGCGCTACCAAGGAAATGTCTGCTCAATTTTTTTAACCCTGCATTTTGTTAAAGCACACAGTATGTAGTTTCCCACTAACACCTTTTGTCTTGACTTTATTGTGTGCTAGAGTGAATATTTCAATTGCATATGCCTTGAGGAAAAATAACAACCATTCTATATATGTGTAAGAGGAGATTTTGATTCCCCAGACTGCAATAAATTTCACAAAAAACTTATCAGAACGATGAAGAAATCAAGAACCTACTGAGAATCAGCAACAAAAAAAGCCACGACATATTAAAAAAGTAATTGTCGACAGACTCATGACAGCCAGTGTAATACATGTGAGCACAAATATAAACCAAAAATAACGCAAATTGCGCATTCCAACGAGCATTCCCTCGTTCGAATTGCATTTCAGCAGACTGGATGCAGTCCTATTAGCATTACCTAGCTCAGAAAACATTCAGGGGATGTTGGCACTGTTTCAGCAAGTGTTTGTGAAATGTAA